GGTGCTTTTGGTTTGAATCCAGTGCATTTGTGTTCCTTCCTCTCTCCTCGAAAATTAGGGAACCATTTGAAAATCTTACTAGTTTTGAATGATGCGTTTTTTCCCCTCAGGTTTGGTATTTTAAAAGGCTTGACCTGCCCTCGCACTTGGCAGATCACGTGTTGTCCACCTACCCCAGCAACGAAAGAGCTGACAGATTCGAGGTGAAGAAACGTAACCTTTTTCTTGCTGTGATTCATTTCTTTCTAAAATGGTTGGTCGAATTTAGTGTTAAATCAGGTAGATGAGTGTATATAATGCCATTACATCTTTGCCAAGAAATTTTACTTGTCAATCGCTTTCTGAAGGGTCTTCGTGGCCGTTAGTACACATTGGCAGTTTGGGCTAAAAAGTTAACATTTACGAACACGATACTTTTGATTCTTACACTGAATGTCGCTTCTCGTCGTTGTGTTTCAAGCTAGAACGATCTACTCTCACTTCTCTGCGCATATGTTACTGGAAATTAAACAGTCAAGCAGAAGTCAAATTATTCTTGTGCCCCAAGCGGAAATCCTTTGAAGACAATCATAGAGCCCTTCAGGCCAGTTGGATACCCGCGTTGAATTGGTTTTTATATTAACGGACTTTTATGGCGTCTATCGATCATGCATGTTTTTTCATACATCAATTCTGTCTAATTGATCACGTGATAGGAGCGGCGTAGTATCTCAGGACTTGGAACCCAGGTCCTTGTGTCCACTTCGTGGGATGGAGACAGGGAGGAATATGACACGGTCCCATTGTACGTTTTGTGGAATGCGCCAGGTTTGTACTATTTAACGGTAATTTTTCCAGGCAAGAGCTATACATTAACTGTTTTGCTGGTAAGAAGAATTTTTTTCCATGCGTTATGATCGAAAAATGGAGAGTTATTTCCTTGAACAAGGAGCTAATGTCAAAAGCAGAATTTTTTGCTAGCCAGCACTACTTTCAATGTCGCTTTGATTTCTTTAAGAGATTAGGCTTCACCGTGGACATTCGGGTCGTTTCTTTCAGCAAGTATTGATGATGGTTACATCTTCTTTTGAAGTTTCCTTCTGCCAGGCTTTAACTAATATTTGCGCATGTGGCTCTGATAATGTACTTTAGGCGACTAGTGTTTGCTTGAGGAAAAAGTTAACAAGGAAAATAATAATTCAAAAATTTTTTTGTTTGTTTGCCCCTGTAGCGGATCAGCAAGGATCACTGACGGACAAAGGACTTACTACTAGGGCGTAAGGATTTTCCTTGTTATGGAGAAGGGGGGAAGAGGGAATCGGAATGGCTCGCCTCCCAACGCTGTAGCCTGAGTTCGATTCCAGAACCCGGTGTCACATGAGGGCGAGTTTGTTGTTAGTTCTCGTCATTCCCCGGATTTTCCTTTCTCCACGAGACTACACTCTGAAATTAATTTAATTCGTTCTATAATCAGTTGACGAAGGACGACTCAGTGTATGTCCCAGTGATATTTGTTTTGATATACCTGTTAGATCATTTATAGATCAGCGTGTGATACCGTGACCCCTGTAATCACCTGTTGTTTTTCTTTGCCTCATCTCCAGTGTATTGCAGTCAGTAGTGGCTCATATTCAGGAAAACGACGTTTACAGCCCAGCTTTAATACTGCTGGAGGAACGAAACCGGCAAAAGAACATCAACCCTAACGCAAAATGGTAAGTGTCTTACCAGACTCGAAACAGTGTTTAACTGTGGAATGAAATGCAGGACTGCAGTGACTGCTTTATTTTGCAATCTAATTTTCTTGAAAACTTGCCCCCCTCTTGGAATCAATTTTAACTGCAAAATTAATTACAACTTGGCCACTCGCGTTCTTCCAAGCCTGGCATTTGTGACTACTTTGATTTCAACTTTCTCTTAAACTATTTTTGTATACGTATTTATTATAAATTTATTGACCTGTTTTTACGCGCTTTTTGTCCTCGAGGGCACTCAAAGCGCTCTTGAAAGTCGAGAATATTTGTTCCTAACAAATGTAAATTTTCTTCCCGTCAGGAGTGTTTATCGAGAGTTGCTTTACTTGTCACTGACAGCCTTAGGAGCAGAGAACATTGACGTCGGTGGGTAATCAAAGTTTTTCCCTTAAGTCCAAGGAAATTTATATCAAGCAGAGTCATGCGGTTTTTATTAGTAAAACCTCCTTGCGAACAAAATACAAGTTACTTGGAGATACTCGTTTCTTTTCCCCCACTTTTTATTAGTGAATTTCTCAACACATTTTGTAATTAAAGATTTTATTACCATGACTACTTTCTCAGATGCCTTCGACAAAGAGTACAGACGAGCCTATAGAAGCCTTTTTGAGTCAAAGAACTTCTCAGATCTGTTGTGTTTGGAGGATAAAAGCCCGCCGACTCGTGCAGTGTATTGCAGGCGCACTTTCGATACACCGACACTACAACCCAGGGTTCCGAAGCACCTCGTCAACAGCTTCCCTTGACTTGCTTGCGAGGAAGATATTAACCTCTGTGGATGTTCAGTCAACAGATCGAGACGGGTAAAGTTTCCTCTGAATATATGTTCGCAAATTATTCAGAGGCCGTCGGCATTTCTCGAAAGATGGCGGTACTGGGCATTGAAAACCACTTTGCAATATCCGGTGGAAAAAGAAGGCGAAGACATTGAACGAAAGCACCATCGTCAGATTATCAGAATATTTCTGTCTTGGCGCTACCATGACGGTTAAAAAAATTACCAATGGGAACGCACTGTTAACATAGTCAACCTCTATCTCAGCAGTGGTTTTGAATACTTTACCTTAGTTCGGCACTCACCCTGCATCAGTATTTCACTAGTTTTGTATTCATCAGTGATTTTAAACATAGAATTGTACTATTACGTTTTTATCTTTACCCAATGCATCAGCAGTGATGCGGCTTTTTGTGTTTGAAGTTGCACACAAAATTATATCCATACGTAATTCATTGCTGACGTTATATACTTTTCAAACTTTACCTTGTAGGGTCTTAAGCCAAGACCTCACTTCCAATATTTGTTCAAAGCTAATCTTTTACAATGATTTTCTTGTGAAATTTAGGTTTAGAGGTTTAAAATACCTTACCAAATATGGTTTTTTTACTTAGTTAAAGTTTAAAGGAGGCCTAATGAATATTTTCTCAAATTTGTGGGGTGGGGTCAAAAAATGGTTGGAGAAAATTTATATACTGGGGGAGATAGAAGTGTCTCGATGTGGAAACTTGTCCTCATATGAAAGTCACAAGGTTTTATTCATGAGGCAAATCATTGCAGCATTAGATAGTGCCATAATTCAATCATGGCTTATTGCGTCGGCAGCTAGGAGCAACGTTTTTTTTTTCCTGCTTTACATTCACAATATGCTTTCTAGAGAATTGTAACTCACTCGAGCAAAATTTGTTTGCCACAAAATTACAACAACAACGACAACAACAAAATTAACAAGAAGTTATGTTTAAAATCGAAACGTTTTTTATAAATTAAAGTTTCTTTATTGCTCGCGCCAACACGATTCTTACCTACACTTTCACAGATTTAATCAACTTAAAGAATTGTAAATCATAAAAGCATCTAATATATTTTTCAATGTTTAGCAAAGTTTCATCGCTTAACCGTACGCTAATCAAGTTGTAAAAGAGTAGATTTAACTTATTATGTTTTACAATCGCCTGGAATAATCGTCAGAAACGTGACTTTCCTCGTATTAGTTTGGAAACAGGTAGAATTCCTGATCGATGACAGTTCAGTCCAGCCCTTTTTTCTGCGTCATTTGAACGCTTTTTCGTAATGACTGTCTCATGTGGTTTAAAGAATCAGGCAGTTTTGCTTCACATGCAGAAATCCATTTTATTCGAAGATCTTGGCATGAGTCGCGAGGGTTATTCCGTGCCAATGAAAAGAGTTGT